CTGAATGCCGCCATTTGGTTCCAGCGGAATGTGCCTTGTCATTTGTATGCGTTGTCGTTACTTGTAAAGAAAGCCCATCAAAGGACTTTACGTATCACCGGAGTGCACTTTTACTGCGAAGAAGTATCGGGCTTCTCGCTGCGTAATGCTCCAATATGCATGTGCGTTGCGCTCGTATACGTCGCGCGTATTGAAACAGTCGGCACGAAATGGGAGGCTTATCGTTCACCCTCTGCGGAGTTACAACGCGCCGCCTGGCTGTTGCCAGCTGGATATAGAAAGATCGCCCCGAAAGGATTTTTTTTTTTTTCTTGCGAAACTCAGGTTGTGTTTGTGAGGCTTTCCAGACGAACCTTTAGGTTTACCGACGCCCGAGAGCGCTTTTTCAATCGACCCTCTCCAAAACTGAGCTCCTTGTCGTTTGTAACGCTTGGGCTACTTCAGCTTTTCACGAGGTTCGTTCACGCGTGCTCAGCCGAAGAACAATCGAAGAAACACCGAGCTCTCACTACGTGTGGAGCGTCGGAAAGTGCAACTGAGAGATTTAATAGGTCTGTAGCGTCTTAGGTTGTTCCAGCACGATTCAGAAGTTAAAATGGTCTGGAACGGTTGGTGAGAACACTAACCTTTTATTTAGTTAACTGATTATTACTTGTCCAAATTTATAATAATGATGAAAGAGCGATGTCGGCGTCTGTCCAGGCCGCTGGTCCCATGTCGTCTCGCTGCTCACTCCGTCTCGTCTCCCTGTGTCGTCCTGCGCCGCATTCTTTTGTACCCTCGTGGCGAGGGTTACCTCGCGGTGGCGTGAAGTGGTGTCCTCCAACCTGGCAGGGGTTACAGGTGTGCCGATGTAGAGGCCCGTTTCTGTCTCTGGCGGGTGGGGGAAAAAATGGTCCCAAGGGGCAAGGAATGGGGGGTAATAACCACGCAAAGTTCCCCACCCAGGAATCAAATTATGGCTTGGAGCTGCGTATTGTTTTGTAATGAAAGGAAGCGGGGAGAGTCGCTCGAACATTCTCGGTGCCAAAACGTCGCAAGCAGGTCCTTAATTGGTGAGCCGAGACACTACAGGTCGTTCCGATAGTGACCCCCGATTCTCCGCTGGCGCCTTTGCGCATGCATTGTATCGTTATCGGAGTCAATAGAACGATCGACTAAAACTCCCTAATAATGGCTTCAGCTATGCCTGTCGCCAGTTTACGCATACGGCCGCATGACGCCATGGTCAAAAGTACTTGTGCCGCTTTACTTATGCCATCAAAAACCTTTTACCCGACCGTCAGTTGTTTATTTCCAATGTCCTCAGTCCTTCGAGATGTTAAAAAGGAGAACGGGCATTATATTCGTGTTGAAAGTAGCTTCGTCAGAGCTAACCGGGTCCTCGACGGTGACAATCTCTTCAGGTGACTAATCCAGTTTGCAATGGCGGCGGAGAGTAGCGCACTTAGAGACTGTGGATATGGGATCGGAGGGACGCGCGCTGCTTCCAAGCTCAAAATACGCAAGACAACTGGGAAAAAAACGACACGGCAACGAGTGAACGCAACTTGTATGTGCCGAGGTGCGCTTCCTCGTGTGTGCCGTGTCGCGTCCTCTCCTGTGCAGCTTCGTGAACATTCTTCTTCTAAGTAGCGCACGTACTGTGGGGAGGACCGTGGCTAGGCTGACTAATCGCAGTGGTCGACCCCAGTATAGGAGAGGCGCATGTCGCTGATTCGTTGCCACTGTTCCCGCGACTCGCGATGATCGGTCTATTTGCTAACGATTACCAAAAAAAAAAAAAAAACTCGGAAAGTTTATGACACGCGTGTTGCAAGAAGAGAAAGCATGCACGCGAGCTGTTCGAGACACGACATACAGTGATCCGATTGGTCCGAATCATTTTGGAGCCCCTTTTGGAGCAGGCAAAGAAGTCAATTTTGACGTATGCTATTTTTGTTCCACTCACAATGCTATGGAATTCATGTGTTGACCTGTGCAACTTACAGTGTGCCTCCTTTGTTTTCCCACCCCCGTACAGCCATCCATTAGCATGCATTTTGAAGCGGACACTTTAATTCTCCCTAAGCACTCCCCTGTCTGTTAGTTGGGCTTAAGAGCGCCAGATACGACAACGCTAATGGGCGACAAGAGACATTTCGTTTGTTTATTAAGCCCCATTACTGATGCCACTTTTGGAACACCTGCTTATTGGAAGCGCGCGCAAAACAGTGGCGCCACCGTGCGGCTTTTATCAGAAGCATTTCGCATAGACCACGGCCGGACTGGCACAGACATTCTGTGTAGCAGCCAACTTTTCCAATCAATGTCAGCTTACGTCACCAGAGCACTATACAAAACGTTCGGGGCCACAGTCGAACTTTTTTTTACGCAAGACCTGGAAATTGATAACAGATCCCCTCCATGTGCTGGCTAAAAGCGCTGCGATCGTCTCAATCCCAGTACATCTACTAGATCCGCTAGGGAGGGAAAAGCAGTCTGAAGATAAGAGGAACGAAAAATACTTCTCACGTAAATTTTATCAATTATTGGCACTGGTGAATGTTGTCTCGCATATATTATATAACATATGTACGGGATATATTAAATATTAGTTCAAGGAAATATTTTTGAGCATGACGCTCAAATTATTGTTTTGAATGAATGTTTGCTTCTTAATGAATGTTTTCTTAACGCTATGAACATTGTAATAAAACTGCAAGTTTATGTCAGTTCAGGAATAAAACATTCAAATCATTACGCAAGTCAAGAGACCTTTAAATGTATCAACACTTTTAACTTTTATGACGATACAAGATCAGCACGTGTGCGATAAATATACACCTTGCTAAAAGTCCCCCCCCCCCCCCCCCCAAGAAAAAAAAAAAAGCTTTCTCGGACTTAACGCAACCGGTATAGGGTTAAGTGTATTCCCAAGCTTATATTCCTGCACTGCTAATGATAATTTACTTTTAACTTATTATTTACTGGGTGAGGCCTTTTTGAACAACCAAAAGCTTACGTAGAGGTGGGAAGCAAACGTAAGATTTGAGATATTAATTAAACTTATTGTGGAGGTCAGCTCTATATAGATGAAGGAATTTAGAAATTCACTCGCTATACCCAAATATAATTCGTTAAGTCTCAAAAAAATTATTCCATTAAAAAAAAAAAAATTCACGTGTCGTCAGAACTCTTACGTTACGTTATTTTCTTGCGTTTTTCTACGTTGCGTATAAGTCAGCGAAACATTCGTGATTCGAATGTCGCGTGCCAGACCACTTCCTTGAACTGGTAGCTTCGCTCAGTATGTACGTAAGCTTTCGTTTTGTCACGTAACGTAAAAAACGGGACAGTGTGAACTAGCCTAGCGTACAATTTTGCATAATAGCCACGTTTTTATTTAGAAAATTTCACTGCAAGCTATAAACGTTTTATTCGCTCTATTTATTTATTTATTTGTCTATTTATTTTTGTACCTGACGCCCGCGCGTGCACCGTCCCGCTCTGAGAAGTGATTTCCGCTGAGTACGCGGCTGCGCTGCAGAGAAGCGACATTTGCAGAATCGCGGTGTCCATTTCGCGGATGTCTCTTCTCCGCGGTGCACCAGTGCCCACGGTGAGAGGAGGAACTAACGAACCAGTCCAAGCAGACCCTGAACAGTGAGAAATATTGCAAAACTTCCGATTACGGCCAGTGTTCGTTGCGAAGGTCCGATCGTAGAGTGATTATTTGCATACAAAGAACAAAAGTTTTCGGGATATGTTTTTATAATCTTACCGCAATGACCCAGCAGTGTAGCGGAAACGGAGCTATACGGCGAGCAAGTATTCCAAAATGCGTCTTCGGCGCATCCGAACGCAAGGAGAAGCACGCCAAAGAGAGGACAACATGTATACTATAGTATATGACGCGTAGGGAAATAAAAGCACGCGGACGCGTAGGGAAACAGAGGCACGTGGACGCATTTGGGGGATAAACAAACGCACGAGGTGCGCACGCCGTAAAAGTTTCAATACTGAGGAATAGAAATGAACTTTTGGTGAAATCTTGGCGCACATTGTTCACATTTTGGTGAAGTTCAGCACACAGCACAGCTTGGTGCAAATGTTGTCAAGTTTAAACCCTAAAACGAGTAAAATAAAATGAAAAAAAGCCAGCATGTTTGGTTGTATGTTTCCCTTCCATCAGCTTAGAGTTTAAACTAGGACGCCTTTGGGCTTGTTTTGAAAGGAACCGGAATCGAAAATCTCGCGCGACGTTGTATCTATTCCACGCGCTGTGCGTTCCATGGACAGTGCCAGTATTGTCAGAGTTGTCTCGATACGATCGGGTTTACGAACAGACGGGTCTTTTATACCGACTCGAGCGAGCGCACTTATCGAGAGTCTGCATGTCGATCACCGTCAGTGTTTCCCTCGAGCTCATCCTTGTGACCGGGGAACGTCGACAGGCGTTCTCCAATCGCGAGTTTCTCACTGATGATTGAAGGAAGACCAGTGCCCGATGTTCCGGACGCATCGCGGGGCAGGATACTTGCAGCCATTTTTAAGTCTTTATAATCCGGAGTGTCTATACTTCGTTTCAGCTTCGGTGCGAGCGCGGCCGATGTTATGAGCCGAAGGGCCAATCAAACAGCGAAAGACGCACATTTGCAACGTCATGGCGTGCTCTCTGCAGTTGATAGGACCAGCCGGTATTCGCCGCCTCTCTGTGCGTGCTCCTACGCCGGCTAGTCCTATCATGCATAGAGAGCACGCCATGACGCTGCGCTTTTTGCGCTGTTTGATTGGCTCTTTGGCTCATATAACATCGCCCGCGCTCGGACCGAAGCTGAAACGAAGTATAGCCAGTCGAGCTGGCGCCGAAAGTGCTTCGTCTTTGTGTGTCATTGGTATCACCGGCTAAACGGTGAGAGCGTCGTGACTATGCAGTTTTGGTGGGAAACGGGCGCTCGAACAGCCAACTTGACTGACGCGGCCGTTGTCCCATGGCCTCTGACAATGCCGCCTCCCAGGCGCGCTCTCTCTGGCCGAGCTGGGCACGATGATCCACAAGTCGGGCGGAGACTTTATCTACATCCTGACGGCGTTCGCGGGCGACCCGCCGGCCAAGGGAGGCCTGCGTCCGGTGCCGGCCTTCTTGCACGCCTGGACCACGGTGCTCCTGCTCAAGCCCGCTGGGCTGGGCATCATGGCGCTCAGTTTCGCCAAGTACCTGGTCCAGCCGGCTTTCCCCAACTGCAACGACACACCGCCGCTGCCCACCAAGATGATCGCTGCCGGATGCATCTGTGAGTCCGCGTCACCGGCGGCGGTGTAGCCAGACACTGCCACCCACAAGACAAGCCTGCGCCCCCCCTCCCCCCTAAAAAGAAAAATTAGCATTAGTGGATCGGCACAGCGTCGCCTAGCTCGCGTCAGCGTCGCCGCCAGCGCGTTTTGCAGCGTTTCACAACGAGCGAGACGCTAGAACGCGGTGACGCCAAGAAGCACCCGTCTGCTGCTTTGTGTCGTACTCTCGTCGAGCTGTTTGCCGCTTGGGGCGCGATCCACTAACGATGACTGCATGCGCCGGCCTTGTCTTTTGCGTGGTATAGAGCCAGGTCATTCCGTCGCGGACCAGATCCCCTCGTTGGCCGCAGGTCATTCGCGGAAAGAATCCGCGGCGGTGAGGGACACTGTGGAGTAATGTCAAGAGGGTCGACAAGTTCGCCATGAGGCAGGACACTGCCCGTTGCGAGCCCCATAAAACGCACTCATCGAGTAAAGCTCCGGCGTCTAGGGCACGCCACTACAAGCACGTACGAAAGTGGCGTTTCAAAGCCGTACGGAACACTGTTGTTCTTTAGATTCAGATATTTAAAAAAATATATCGCGATTAATTGTATAGTTCAGTTCATCGTTCCGTGTTAACTCTCAATGGCACCTTCTGTTGTTGGCGTAGCATTTTATGGCTGAGCTTTTGAATCGTATGGCTGCGAAGGTAGCTTTTTTATGTGTTTTTAGTTCATATCATGTTTCTGCTGGTTAGAAGAGGTATCACGTTATACCTATCGTAGAACGAAAAACTATTAGATATCAGGTTGCTGCTTTAGCGAATGTAACCTACACTCTGAACGTGTACAGAGTGTCTTGTAATACAAGGAGCGACACCCAAGTCGCTCCTTCCGAGAACAACAGGGCATGACTGGAGATGTTCGGTGTGCGCTCAGGTATGGTGACGTTCATCAACTGCTTCAGCGTCAAGCTGGCCACTAGGATACAGAATATCTTCACCGTCACCAAGCTAGTTGCTGTTGCCGTCATCATCATCGCCGGAATGGTGAAGATCTCCCAAGGTATTCCCTCTTTGTCATATCAAGGAAGGACCCGACAACGTCGCTTGTCGTGACTAGCTCTACTCACTGGTTCGCTTTTTACTTCCAGGGCACACGCAGTACCTCGCTACGGGTTTCCAAGGCACTACAACCTCCGTGTCGGAAATCGCCACCGCTTTCTACTCCGGGCTCTGGGCTTACGACGGATGGTGCGGACGCCGTTACGCTACGATATTTCTTGTTGCTGTATTTTGTGACGACATAAAACAGGCACTCGAAAAGATAAAATATTTTATCTACATCGGCGGTTCTCAAATGGGGGTCCGCGAAGGCATTCTAGGGGTCCGCGAAGCTTTGCCTATTCAGTCAAGCGCGGCAATAAAAGTTGTCTTTTTTTCGGATTGAGAGGAAATGTTCCAATTTTCGGGTGAGTTTTCTCATGTGTATGTCAATGAGAGAAGTCTACTTCACCCTAGCCCTTAGTTTATCCAATTATTAAATCAGTACCATAATTAACCTATACCCTTTCCCTTCGCCTCTTCACGAAGCGGATCTTCCATCATTTCCGCCGATCCACAAGGGGTCCGCGAAACAGCAATGGTTGAGAACCGCTGATGTACATTATATGTATGGCTCCGTGTTTTCGGATAAATTCGAAAAACTCCGAAAAGCACCCGCCGGTAAAATTTCTGTCAATTCGGATTTATCCGATAAACTCCGAATTGTTATGTGTCCATGCCCCCCCCCCCCCCCCCCTCCCCCAGCAATTTTTTTTTTTTTTTTTTTTTACAATTTGAGCAGCGCAGGATCAATGGTCCTGGGAAAATGACGCCATGATTATCTTTCAAGCCTCGGACCGTTGTCAAAAGGGGGTCTTACGGCTTGTCTCGTCAAGGTTGGTTCAGGGAATCGGGTCATCGTACCATTCGTGTCACGACAAAAGTCACCCTTTTGGTTTCCAGTTTGGGCCATGGGATTTGGGATTTAGAGAAAGGAGAGGGTATGTTTCTGGAGGGGTAACAGAGAAAGCTATGGGCCATAGAGATTCTATACAATAGGAAAGAGGGGCAGTTGAAACTTCTCTATTACATCCTCAACCACTCCACCTCGCGCGGCCGCGGGAGAGATTGATAGGATGACTACGAGCTTCTTTGCGGCTACCTCCGGAAGTTTATTGATTTTAAGGTATCGACGTTTATCGAAGCCACACTTGTGTGTGACTTTTGTCGTGGATAAATTAGTATTGCCGACGACACCAACGCCAAATTCAACTGAAGAAATCTTAATTGATACAAGCGCGTTTTATTTTTTATCTGGCATACGTTTGCGTCCGGTTATTATTTATTATTTTTTAATAGAAAACACTGCGAAATTAATCTCCGAATTTAGGAGAATTGCGGATTTACGAAAAATAAACTCCGATCAACACCGAATGTTTGCTAAAAAATAAACTTCGAAAAACACCCTCCGAATTTCACGAAAAATAAACTCCGAAAACACGGAGCCCCAATTATATGGGATAAAATTAGGCCATATATTTTCCGGTGTCTGTTTATGATAAAAATTGGCGGATGTTTTTCGGTGTTTATTTATTTTTCAAATATCGGTGTATTTCGACGAGTTGTCTCGCGCGGATGCTAAAAACGGCGCCTTTCGGTGGGTCCATTGTTACGAAATCAGTTGCTTTCCGACCTTTGAAACAATAATGAGAGCCGGTGTAGCGTTGAAAACTGCCGTCCTCTGATCTGTCGGGCCCCTGTTCATCAGGGTCAGTGATTGAACTGATTGGGGACCGCCAGTTTACTTGATTCTTGACGACAAAGAACGCTCAGCAAAAGTCACGAATGGCCGTTTTGGCGAAAATTGTAATCGCTTAGTGCCAAAATGTTCCTAGAATCGATGTTTTTCGGTTTTAGCCGATTTTCTTTTCGTCACCAGCGCATGTTTATCGGTGATATTTGGTTGAAACCGGAAAGCACACAGCCTAGATATAATATGCGGATGTACGATATAAACGCTAAGAGAGAGCGAAAACAATACGGCAAATAACAAAAAATAACGCGAGGCCATGCTTTTTTGTGCATAATACTTCAATCGTGTGTCTCTCTTTGTGTGCATTCCTTTTTTTTTTTTTTTTCAGGAACAACCTCAATTACATCACCGAAGAACTGGTCAACCCATACGTGTAAGTGTAGTACAACTATTGTAGCGACGATTTTGCAGAGTGCTGGCGGCGCTCTTTTTGCGCGCAATGTTTAAATCGTGCAAAAAAAAAAAAAAACGGAAAACTGATCGATGAATATCTAAAAAAAAATTGCCTTCCGCGATTTCTTTAAAATGCTAGCCATCAGTCGTAACTACTGTCAATGCTCCTATTGCAACATGACCCATAGAATCGATAACGGAAAAGTTAATTAACAGATTTTAGTTAATTCGCCAACTTACCGTGACAGTTATTCCCTCATCTAATGTCCGCCGAGCTTGATTAATATATGCTGAGGACAGCAACCGCGTAACTTTCACTAATTGTTTTTAAAAACATGTGTTCGAATTAAAATAATATTTATCAAATCATAAAACCATTCAAATCAAAATTATATGTTGAATAAAAATATTCTCGTTGTTAATATTATTAGTAGTAATAATAGTATTGGTAAAAAAAATGTGAAGAAGCGAACAGCGATGCACGAATGAAAGCGAAAATGAGCTTCCGCATCACATAGTGGACATCAGCGTTTCGATTGATGATTCTTACTTCATTTGAATTTTATTCGTGCTATTTTGTATATAGTCTAGGTACCGTAGATTGGATAGTATCAGCTGCCTTTTTGGGAATACGGTTGAAACCAGGAAGGTCAAGCAACCAAATGTCACATTCGCACGTTGTTTGGTTCGAATCTCTTCACCGATCTGAGTAGTGCCCAGGCAGAATAGATATCGATAAGCGTGGATCTTCGTGATATAAACAGCGAAGACCCGAAACCGTTAAAGAGGTCACGACCAATACGACCCGAAACACCCGATCTCGCTTTTTTCTTCGTGTGCGGTCCCCGAATTGCGGGGACCTCTCGATTTGTAAGAGTCCGAAATATGCACCTCAGCTTCGCATTTCCATTCTAGTTCGAACCACAGCTCTCTAGAAAAACTGACATGTACGCCGAAGGAGTGCGAAAGACTGTTTCTGCTCATATTGCACGCGCTAGTATACAACTGACCGACGACAGCCCTTGACCCGATCGTTCTTTTCCCCCTGGCAGGAACCTTCCTCGGTCCATCATGATAGGCATCCCGTTGGTGACTCTCTGCTACGTCCTCATCAACATCTCGTACATGAGCGTCATGTCTGCCACCGAGCTGCTTGCCTCGGAGGCCGTTGCTGTGGTGCGTATGACGGCAGAAGGCCCCCGTGTTTGTAGTATAAACAGTCCCTTGCACATGTTTGTGAAGTAAAATACACGGGAATGAGCTATAGGTATGCTAAAGCTTAAGCAAAAAATACGGATTAAGGAAATCGGGTGGAGCTGCGACGGCATACCATTCCCGGAGTTGCCGAACCTCTGGAGAGTGCAGGTTCGTTTTTCGTCTCCAAGCAAACGAGGTTTGTGTGCGTACCTACAGAAACGTTACAGTTTGGTTGCACGAACGGCAGGAGGCGCCAGCCTACGGATTCCGAGGTGACGGGTTCGAATCCCAGACGAGGGGCCAGCATTCTGAGGACGATTTCAGTTGCACGTCAAAGATCCCCAGGTGGTCCATATGAATTTCCAGCTCTTCGCTGGGGCGTGCCAGATGCTTTTGGTTGGGTTGGCTCGTTACACGTACCCCCCATTCGTTCATAAACGGACAGGAGATCTTTTGGTTCTCCCTCCGCCTTTAGCACGAACTTTGTACTTTCGATACCCCTTCGGCATCTTCCGAGCCTCGAGCGTGCACGCGCAGTCAAAGCACGATGGAAGGCAACGAGCGCCTGCTAGGCATCTGAAAGAGACGCCCTACAGTCCTTGACCTAACAGTGACGTCATTTTACGAGTATAACGCCTCCCCTTTGAAGCAATTCGGTCGCATGCCAGTTGTGTCTTGCCAGTTGGCAGGATTGAAAATAAACAACTCTTCCTCAAACCCCCACACACAGGCACGCAGACGGACACACGCACAAATGGCTGTTGTCGTGCTTCAGGGGGAAGTTTCACTTACCCGTAACTTGGCGTGACTAAAGGAAATGCCAATTAGTCTTCGCCATGCTTTCGTCAGGATGGCACCTTATGATCTCGGTAGCAATACCGTTGGTGAGAGCGCCGTAGACACGCTGCCGAGATAACAACGAGGTGCCGATCACAAATACGTCACTACATTCGATACGCATCATTGAGGCGCTCTTCGGTATCCAGTTTCGAAATTGGGCGATAAGAACGTGAAGAATGATGGATAAGTGTCTCAAAGCCGGTTGTCGTCTCGCGTATAAATTTGTTAAACAAGTGCAACATAATTCATGTCATTCCCCATCTGATGTCCGCGGAGCCCTATAAACACAGAATGGATACGTTATCCCCGTAACGACCGTTCCTTTAAGTGCATTTATTACAGCGAAGCTGTATATGACTAGTTCGTCGGTTTTTTTTTTTATTTTTTTTTTGTGTCCGTTGACAGAACAGTAGTCGACAGAATAGTCGACAGAAAACCATCGCGCGCGCCTTATCTCTTATCATGGGAGTTTTACATTTGTTTCAATAAGAAAACCACAAAACAAGTGTCAAAACCACGTGATAGATGATAAACACGTAGCGCTCCCCGCATGCATTTCTCAGTAAAGATTGCGATTGCATAAGCTGGCCGCGGCAACGGCAGCGAAAGAAGTCTTTCATATATAAAAATGTTTTGGTACAGTTAATTTACTTTTCTTTCGACAATCATTTGATATAAACCCTTTTGCTGTTTCTGTTTACAAACATGAACTGCCGCTTGCGTCCCAGGCGACTTCCGGTCGCACCGTCTTTGCAAATTGCTTATGTCACCAGTGCTAGAAAGCATAAATGCTACACGGACAACAAAGTTGGAGATTTAACGAGGGCCTTCGGCTGTACAGTATTACATCTTGGAGGAGGCAACTTGGTTTACAAGAATACTGGAAACATTTTAACAAATCTCGCACTCCTTCGTTCTTTTGGCGTTCACCTGGAGAATCGGTGGTTAACCGTTTCATCTTCATTTCAAGCAGCGATGCTAAGGTGGCCTTTGTTCGTTCATTGTTTGCATAAACCGGAAGTTCTCTAAGACGTCAAAGACTGGAGCACCACTTGGTGCCGTTTGCCATAAAAAGGGTCTATAGTGCAGTGAGCAATCGTTGCAGGTGATACCAAAGCTTCGCTGTCCGACTACCTTCACAGCGTAAATTGAAGCCTTAATTTTTTTTTTGACAGACATGTACGATGTTTTATTTCATAAGCAGAATCTCAAGATGTAATGCGCCGAGAAACTGGGGGAGAGGAGGAGACGAGAGGTGACGTCAGAACGCCGAGCTCTGGTTGGAAGGATTAGGGGGTAGACGTGAAGCTAGCTGCCAAATTGTCTCCGGTCCACTCGTCGGACGGATTCGAATGCGAGAGCCGGACGCCGGCGTTCCGCCTTCTAACGCGGTCGACCGGTGCAGTGGAGACGAAGGCAGCTAGCTTTAGGTCTACCCACTAATCCTTCCAACTAGAGCTCGGCGTTCTGACGTCACCTCTCGTCTCCTCCTCTCCCCCAGTTTCTCGGCGCATACCCTTTTCGTGCATCAGTTCATTATGACGAGTCGAAATGTTAGATGCACATCTGACTGATCTGGTCCCTTGAACACACTACCCTTTCGTGGCATATTGCACTCCGAGAAACCTGGAGTGTGTACTTTCCCTCAAACAGTTGTGAGAGCGCTGCAGTCTAGGCGGGAACTGAATATGAAAATCTGTTTAGACCGCTAGAAATACCTGCAATCGGCACTGAGCTCTGGCCAAAGCGGAGGCTGTTTTAGGCCATATTTCCAGCCTCGTTATCCGCCGAGCACCCTCCGTACATTGCCGCGCTCTCCAAAGTTCTTTGCAGGAGAGCAGACGCTCTAGATTTGTTGCTGTGTGTACCTCGGTTAACTCGATGTCACTGATGCCTCTGTCCTCGCATATCTTCGCAGCGTTTCGGGAACCACGTTCTGGGGCCGGCCGCCGCTCTCATCTCTCTGTTTGTTGCCGCATCTACGTTCGGCTCGGGCAACGGCACCACTTTTACGACTGCCAGGTAGATATGCAAACGCGCCCTCTACAAAAAAAGCGGGCTACTCGTTGCTCTGTTCCTTTGACGTTTGTTGGTGGCTCGGCCACGGCGTACATTGCAGGATCGGATTCGTAGCCGCCAGGGAGGGTCATCTCTCTGAAGTGCTCTCATATGCGCACGCCAGGAGGCTCACCCCGGTCTCCGCACTCGCTCTTAACGTAAGTCCTCGCTGAAGATCCGAAGTTCGATTAAGGCGTTCGAAACCATGCACCTTTTCTACCGTTCATCCTCGTCGACCCGCGTCCCCCGCAGTGCATCTTGTCCATCTGCATGGTTTCCCTGGCGGACATCGGCAGTCTGATCGACTTCTTTAGCTTCGCGGCGTGGATGTTCTACGGGGCCACCATGCTGGCCCTCATCATCCTTCGCTGGACAAAGAAGGACGCCTACAGACCTTACCGGGTCAGTGCATACGGTGCCCGCGCACCTGCAGGGATTAACCGCGGATACGCGCAGCAGAACCGGCGGATGGGGATGGAAGTTCATCGCTGCAATATTGCGGATAGCGGATCGGCTGCGGATCTGATGCGGGGCTGGGTCCTTTGTGCGCGGATTAAATGGTACGGTGAAACGCTTCGCCGAGTTTTTAGGCGGGATGTTGCTGGGGCGGGACCGCTTGATGCAGTGACCGGAAACTCAGCTTCTCATCCCGCACTGTGCGGGATGAGAAGCTGAGCTTCCGGTCACTGCATCAAGCGAAGCAGCTTGATGCAGCGAAAGATAACTGCCCTCAGCAGAGCGCACAGGCTGCAGCCTGTGCGCTCTGCTGAGGGCAGTTATCTTTCTCCCCGGCTATTTTATCCAAATACAGTTTCGCGAAAGGGACACTGTTACGAATTTAACGCGAGGTGGCTATTTAAGGGTATCATAAAAAATACTAATAATATGATTACAAAGCGGACCACCCTTTCAGAAAACCAGTTCCGTAGAAGGTCTTTCCCATTCCTCTTCGCTGCATGTCGCAACTAGACCTTCCGGAATTGGCGGCCAAATGCTCCCCGACTATCGAGCGCAAAGTCCTGGACTTTTATTGGGGATCGCGTATAGTGCCCTTTTCCCAAATTTTCAAATTTAGAATTCTTGCGGGATTGCTTCCGAACCAAGTGTGCGATGTGCGCAGGTGCCAATCGTGATTCCATGGATCGTGCTGGTGCTCTCCATCTACCTGGTAGCGGCGCCTATCATTCAAAACCCGCAGGTGGAGTACGTGTACGCCTGCCTCTTCATCGCCTCTGGCATGTTCTTCTACGTGCCCTTCGTCCACTACAGGCTACGCCTGGGCATCATGCGTACGTATACACGCGCTTCTACTTCACGCCCGTAGACCCTATGATTTGGCATTGTCTTGTGGACATTTCGCTTTCCTTCCAATCTTGTATGCACGCTTGCAGTTTCGCGCACGCAGAAAAGGTGCTTGGTTAACTGTACTGAGGGGCCGCTTACCGGCGTTGATCGGCGTTATTGAACGACCGTATGAAATGGCCTCAAGGGATGGCATCATTTTAATCATTGAGTTGTGCGCATTATATCTTGTGGATCATTATTTCAAAATCGTAAAAATGGATAACGTTGCAAGTTCGAGATTGATTTTCTCAAAAACCAAGTTTTTTAATATTTTTTTTTAATCTTTGCTTTCTCGAAAACAAGACAGTTTCCTCCCAAGAATATTTTTATTTATTTATTTATTTTCACATTACACCGTTTTTGTCTCGTTTCTATCACCTCAAAGTGAGGTGATCGTAATAGGCAAGGCGACGCGTACCACTGCACCCCCGTGACGTCACGTCGCGGTGGTGCTGCGGTTGATTCCTAGGGACCTTAATAAGCGCCGTTCACACACTTGTTACCGAGCACGACCGAGAGAGACAAGACCGGCTTTTAAGCCTCTTGCAACGGCGCACGACCTGCTCCGCAGCACCGCACCTGGGGCGAGGGGGTCTCGTCATCAGCCGTACAGCTGATGATCACTGTTGCCATCTCTCTCTAGCAGATAGTCGCCGTTTTGCCGTAGGCGCCCGAATTTAAACTTTGAGCCGTGATATGAGTTATAGACAAAACTGAAAATAATGTACAGGCAAAAACCACGGGAGGAAAGGCGAGTGAAACATGCGGCCTTGGACAGTCGGGGGAAAACGCTCATTTCCACCGCGGCCGCTTCTCCGCTCCGTAACTCGTGAACAAAAAATAGTCCGAACCCGCGGCCTGCACCTTTCTTCCAGGTAGAAAATTCCCTACAACATTCCTTTCTTTTAAATTTAAAATGTAATTATTATTATTTTTTGCACGATTTGAGATAAAAGCACCTAAGAATGCCCACCCTAGGTTATCCACATTTAACTCGACCTCCCCACCGCGAAAACTCTTCTTCACTGTACACAAATTCGGGAACACCCACCTGCAAACAGCCGTACAGCGCGTGAAACTCACGCCGCTCAATCCTATGATGCTACATGGTTAATTTCCTGTATACCATCAATTGTCTTTGCCGCGAGTAAGAAACGGGAAAATATAGCTAAGCAGCCACGCCACACGCCTTGGACCGGCTCCTAGTGGCCGGCACCGAACGCGCTCTTTTCCTCAAGTACCCAGCGAATGGAAGTCGCTTCTTAGCCGCTAGCTTTATGAATACAAACTGATCTTTCCTACAAACGCTACAATGCAAAGGACTAAAAGAGAAGCAGCTTCCCTTCTTGAAATGGACAGCTTAGCTAGGTCAGCTGCACGTCCTCCGCAGCACCAACGTGACGTAGTCGTCGCCGTACAGCTGATGATCAGTGATGCCAGCCCTCTCTATAGCAGATAGTTTCGGTTTTGCCATGGACGTCCGAAACCAAATTTTGAGTCACGGCATTTACAAAACTACACACAACAATTACAAAAGAATGTGCCCTGTAGTTCAGGGTCACTGACTGAGCTGAAAACTGCCGTAATCCGAAATTTGAAAATTATTAAAAAAAAGAACACGAAATGAACAAATCAATTTAAATGCAGGAAGAAACAGAAAAACTATCACTGAGAGTGAAAAGGGGACTTTACGAACGAGATGCCGAAACATCGGCACCGGCCTCTCTAAAAAAATCCCCTTTTCATTTGTAGGCCGCTCAAAAATGACGACCATTATTGAAATTACGTTTTTGTTCTTTTGTTTGTCTATTTGCAGGCAAATTCACCATCTTCGTACAGCTACTGCTCAACGTTGTTCCGACGACGTATACTGACAGTACGCAAGACTGAAAGCGGCCAAGACATCAAATGTTGTTGCCGCCTTTTTTATGTATACATATATTGTTGTTTTACTTCCTTTTCTACAGACACGCGCGCGCACATTTGTAGAGCGCGGTTTTCTAGTTCAAAACCACGCCACGAGGGAACCGTCCCAAGGCGCCGGAACCAAGCCTGTGCCATGTTTTCAGACGTCACGTTGCGTCATTCCGGCCCTTTTTATGGGGCACCGAGACTGATTAGCTGTCGAAAAGGACAAGCTGGTTTCTGGGAAAGGGAGCTCTCGCATGCGCAGTGCGATGAGAATTTATAATACTTTGCGACTGATGACAGGATGCGGGGTGACATGTTTTATTCTGCCCCAAAATTACTTCACCTTGGGGATTTCCCCTGAATAATTACTTTTCCGACAGCTGTATTCATATCGTATACGTTCTTTTCGCTCGAATCGAGGAACCAGAACACACATGAAAAAGAACGCCACTCTGCCTTGTCCCGGTAACGAAGCGGGACAAGGTGTGCTACCGAGCTCAGGCAGACGTCTTGTAAAGTGGCACCTTGTTGATCACTCCTTAGCCCCTTGGCCGGCGTCATTCGTCGTTCAACTGTAAAGTCTGCGGCAATATGATCTGACCCAGTTGAGTGTTAGCTGAAAGGGGTAAAATGCGGCATGGGTTGCTTTCGGCATCCTAAGCTCTGGAATCGACTGCTACATCGAAATAATAAAAAATGTGGCAGTCCATTTCAGCCCCCTTTGTCTTAAAGGGGCTGTGCAACGATTCTAACGTTGAAAGAATTTGCAACTTGTATTTTTTTATGTTGTTTATCTTGGCACAAGTGAGAGAAAACGCACCACCTTCCCCCGACCACTGCAACTCCACTGCGCAATCGTAAGGTGTGTTGTATACCATATGTTTGTATACTTCGTGTAGACGAGTCTAGGGTGTGTTGGACTTAGCTTGGGAGTGTGTTAGGGAGACGTTGGGGGTCTGTGCATAAGTCATTGGGCGGCAATGCGTGACAATATCCGTTCTCCACCTGTCGGCAGCAGACGAAACCGTGCTGCTATGGTGGCTGTGGCTCGAAGTTGTCGAAGAAAATTTGTTTCGCTGCTTCTGCTCGAGTGTTGTACCACATAAAACAAAATCACAGGTGCCAATGATATATGTACCGGTGCGAAGTGTTAATATACAGTGTGCGAGTTCTAATGTGAATGATTTAGAAAAGAATCGGCTTGCTTTTTTATATTATTTTTTTTTGGGGGGGGGGGGGGGAGAGGGGGAGGGGAGGGGTCGTTGAGCTTTATAGTAATAAAATTTCGCCCGGTATTCGCGAGTGCTCACATTTCTGGGAATAAAACAAATAAGCAAACAATTGATTTGTTCAGTTCCTTGCTTCCCAATCAAACTGACTATAACAGATTCATGCCTGCGACTGTGTGCGGATGCATTTAGCAAACTTCCCGTCGATATATCCGCGAAAAGTCGGATGCTAGCACACATTCAACGCACGAACAAAATAGAATGCGGAGAGTGTCCACGCACTCGTGCGCACTAGCCTTGACTGTGCTTTTCTTCGTAACACCTCAGGCGACGCATCGGCTTGCTCCGGGCGTGAAGGCCCTGATAGGTCTCATGTAGTACATACGAGGGAAATGATTTTAACGCGAAAGCATTAACTGTCCCATAGAGTGAGCCGGCGTCATTGGCCGCACCAAACGGCAGATAAATTTCCGAAGCCGCGATCTGAGGCATCCCTGCTTTGAAGCCACGCAGAAAGGCACGCAAAACGGCAATGATACGAAACCGCGCGCGTCAGTTTCAATCAGCGCCTCCCCATGGTGCTGCGTGTCCGCAAGGCAGCGGCTCCACACCCAAGGTACCAAAGTCAGCGTGGCGAGAGCGCGCTGACCTTTGTGCATGTGCAGCAATTTGAAAATTATTACAATATTTTATATTTAAACTTTTGGCGAGCAATTTTTCTTACGATATTTTGCCACCAAGAAGAGAGGCACAACGGAGCATGCGTGTCGGTTCTCCTGCAAGAACGACGGTTGCTTCCCGCAATGCTTGGATAGAAAATGGCGTATCATTGCGATTCACACGATTACCATGCGACGTCCGCGCTTTCCCGTGTCCCATTGTTCGGCAGCACCATGAGTTGCGGAGTGAATTTTACGACAGTGTGAAATGCGGGACATTTTGACGATTTTCGAATTTTTCGCGGGACGCGGGACACGCGCCCTCAATGCGGGACAGTCCCGCGAGTCGCGGGACGGGTGGTCACCCTAATGTCGTGGGAAATGAGGGGGGAAAGTGAGAGCCAATAGGGTGTACGCGTACAGGTGACAACAGAATGCAGGGGATAGTTAAATTATACGCGGGTGGATTGGTGTACAAAATGGGAAAGGGAAAGAAAGGCTTGTCAAAGTTAGAGTCACTACAAAGCGACGGCACGGTCGGCCATCTGAGAGGGCGCACCTCGCTTCGCGCCTTTCATGCCGTGCCGCATGCATCGCGGTTTGAGCGATATTAATTTGCTTCAAAAATAACGCAGTTTTCCACCACATTTTTTTCTCCGTGCCACTACGTTGCCTGAGGTTGGCTCAGCGCAAGCTTTCTATTAGTCAAAAAATCATTGGAGGGCCCTTCCCTTTAAAACACCTCGGGATATGGGGACTTTGAAGAAAAATTCTGGCAACAAATTTTACACTCAATGGACAAGAAGTGTTAAACTACTTGATTGAGCAGACCACTAAGCGATAAAGACTAAGCGATTATTTTAAATCCTGTAATAGTCATGCGGCAGCTGACTTCCAGATATTGCAGAAAGGGGCCTTGGGAAATTTGCTTTGCATACAGTTTCCACTTTTTTTCACTGCTGCATTTGGTTTTTTTGGGCATTTTTCACAGGTGCTGCGGAAATAATCAATGCAATAACCGTACAACACAAACAAGCTCATAGGAAAAGCAAACTACCAAAGTTTAGAAGTCTACTGATTTTTGCTGATTTTTCAAGCTGAAATCTACTGACGCGAGCCCACGAGCTCTTTCGCTTCTGGGAGTACGTCGCGGCGCGAGATTCGTGCCACGTTCGTGCGCGCGCAGCTTTCTTTTCTTTTTTTCGTGGAAACTCGTTGTATTTGTAATGTGGTCAAGCATGGATTTTCGTCATCACCACACCACCTGCTGGGCCAAGTGGGGAAACAATTAATGCCGAAAGCCGGGACACCAATCGTTTCGAGTTCCAATGGACGTGAGGCACGCTCTTTTTGTCTTCTCCTCTTGCTTAAGTTTCTCATTAAATGTTTGCAACAAAACCTAACTGTCGCAGTGGTAGTGAGTATTAATTGTTTGATTTTGGCAATAGCTGCGATGGTTTCAAATAACAAAACCAAATCCTATCATTGTTTAGGATTCCCCTTCACTCGCCGCGAGAAATATGGCATTGTCAAATAACTGGCGACTTCTATGTAATATCAAGATCGAGCACAGATATGCTCACTTCAAGATATGGTAAACTTTTTGTTGTGAGCTGTTTATTTGGCATTGCTGTCAGCGATTTAAGCGTCTTTTCGCGAGGAGTGAAAATGAGCCTAATTATTCTTCGATTAACTGAGGATGTGCGATGGAGCGATCCATACTGGTTTTCCGTTTCGTTTAGCAGTGACGCACTCCTAAATTTGAGTGATAATATTAAAAACTAATACAGGTTCTCGATGAAGACTAAATACCAAAGAGCTGAGCTTCTGTTTCTTTTTTTTTTTTTTTTTCTAACCTCATTGCTTAGTTTCCTTTAGTTGCAGGACACCGTCGTCGGTCTTTACTTGTGCTTTCTTATATGATCAAATTTGATATGATTATCAATTTACCGTGGAGGCATTTAACTCAAGGAGAAGAAAAATAGAGGAGACGCGAGTATTTAGTGTCTCAGTGTTGAACTCGAAGTACCGTTTTTTTAATGGAGGCACAGAAAATGCTCGCTGTTTTCATATGACCGTATCAGGCACGCAATGGTCAATCAAGCAAATCAATTTTTTTTTCTGGGCTCCACGCCTGTGGCTGGACGGCGCAAGGCTTGTGACTATACGCCAAGAAGCTCGAAAAGAATCACGAACCTACAGAGGGTTAATGTAAATTTAGCGAAGTGTTTTTGCAAGGACGCCTTCGTCGCACGTAACCTTAAAGGGATTGTCCGGTCGAATTTCGTATTCGAGAAAACAATTGATTATCATTGTTATTGCCTCGAGACGCGTGGTACATGCAATATCTGAATTTGATGTGCCCCTCTGCATGAGTAATTGACCCCGTAAGTGATGACGTCACAACAAGGCGTCTGGGTCCAAACAAACCGTTGCTAGGGACGTTGCTGTGGACTAATGCATGGAGACTCCACATGAGGCTAGATTTTTGCTTACAAGTAAGTAAATAATTTCTTGTGAGCAACCTAACTTCTTGAGATCGAATTATGAAGATGCTCTTGTCGTCTCAGTGTCGTATTGCAACAATGAAAGCCATTTCTGAAATATTCCACTCCGCTTTGCTTTCGTAGCGGACAACACGATAGATTTGCTGGCCTCTGTTGCAGCGGGCGACTTCATTGAATTGCGTCGGTAAACAAGGGACAAAAACAATTGTGCATTGCCGTGGCCGTAAAGACCTCCGCAATGTGCTTTTTTTTTTTTTTTTTTTTTTTTTGTGAAGATTTTAGTTTAGCTCAGAGGGGTGAAAATGCCGTACAATCGAAACACACCACGCAGATCATTTACGAAGACGACCTGAACTGCATTACCGGCGTAGTGCAGGCCAGTAAGAGAAACAAATCGTACGCCGTCAAGGTAATTCGTTTATTATTACTATTATTGAGGTTGTCAGGTTTTTAAAGAATTCCATGTCTATCGCGATTTTTCAGTAACCATTGCAGCGATGGTTACAACCAGGTACGACGCACCTTCACATAGCGCAAGTCCACAGACAATATTTGGGATCTCGACCGACCGCCTGAAGCGCTTTTCTCACGGGTCCAATGCGATCTTTTAGCAGACGATCATCTCGATCAACGCCCCTTTCGATAAACCATATTTTGCATCGCACCCCACTTTCCTTTAAGTTTCTGAAAATCATTTTATTTAGAGCAAATGCAATATCAGAATATCGTCCTTATTCACATGATTCAAACGACGGCGCCGGCTTGGCCTGCCGGCGTGTGGCAGACGGCATACTTCTTGCATTCGTCGTCTGCTGCAGGCATCTTGAGGGCCGGAAGTTGCAGTCGTAAATATTTCATAAACAAGCGATTACCGGCACACTTCTGTCCAAACATAAATGACATTCAAGCTTTCTATATCTGCGATTTTTAGAAGTTTAAATTCTACTCCTGATTTTTGAACGGTCGGGTTTTCGTAGCGAAAGCTAGCCACATGTACTTGTCCATAACAACGACCCTAGCAACGGTTTGTTTGGAGCCATGACGTCACGCTTACGGAGTTCATTGAATTTATATTGGTCCAATCGCATCCTAGCGTAAACGCTGTTTTCGTTGCAACACTGGAGCTATGACGTAACACAACGCAAAGCGAACATTTTTGTCTCGTCGTTTGCCTGCGAGTGAACGCCGCAGCTTGCTTCGTTTTTGTTGTTACGCTCGACTTGGTTTGTGAATGGGCAAGATTTTTGTTGCGCGGTTGGGTGCCACAACCACCGGGCAGCACATGCGAGCCAAGACATGACGTTCCTCACTTTTCCACGAGACGTGCAGTGACGAGCAAAATGGATCGTCGCCGTGTGTAGGGACTGCGGTTCGCGTCAAGATCGAGATCCCGCTTATGCAGCAATCATCTCACAGAAGAGAGCAACGAGCTGAGCGCTAAGCGGGCAGAAGGCTCGTAAGCTGAGGTGTGATGCTGTGCCAACGATATTCAACTGCGTCCCCTTATTTTCTATTTCGCTAGTCAACCTATAGCGCCGCCCGGTCGGTGTCAGGGGCACGAAACGTGTATTGGCGCCTGCCTTTCCGTGAATACCTGCACACGGAGCAGCACTGTGTAATTTAAGTGCAATAAAATATAACAGAATACAATACAATAGTCGCCGAAATCGGATCAATGGTTTTGATTATGCAGCGAACCCGAAACCAACAGCTAGGCCATCTGGAAACGATGCCAAAAGTTGTATTTAGCACGCGTGCAGCCAGATTCTGTTTGACCCGCGCGTTAAAATACGATTCACCAAGCTCGTCCAAGTCAAGTGACGACATACATTTGAACGATTCGTCGTTTGCCTTCGACCCGCGGACATCGCCTCCAAGGGAACGGCCCGCAGTCTCATAAGGGAAAGACCCGCAGCCTCATCACCGATCCCGTGGTCCGCCGATATCT